TTTGCTGCTGTAAGACATAATCTGTTACAATTAAATGCCTTATCTGTTAAAGTCCTGCCTTCGTCTGCTCTCTATCCTCATCAACCAACCATTGTAAAATAGTTATTCCGACCTCAGGATATTAAAATCGTTCTGTACAGCAAATAGATAAGAGGTTCCTTGAGAACAGTTTCGAACCAATATGATAGCTATTAGGCTATCTCTCACCATAAATAAAAAAAGAATACATGGTGGAAAAAAGTCATGGTGGATCAAGAGAAGGATAAAGAAATATTACTTAAGTACTCACCAACTTTGACATTGAAATTGACAGTAACTGCCTGTCACAATTAATTTATATTTGCTTCGATTGCTATTCTTTGGTTTGCAGCAGTATTACAGAACATATTTGCGATGATACATAGTTTTCTGAAAAAGTAGGGTTCCGATTCGATGATACAATTTGCACTAATTTGCAAGTTATATAAACCTCTTACTAGGGATTCATTCGGATGTGCTTCGGAATTCACCATCGCAAATGCGACGTTGTAGGATCTTATATTCTTGAGGTAGATCTTCGATATGTTTTCCGATTCTTTTAATGGTGAATAACTCCTTTAAATGAGAGTTTTAATTAAGTTTGCTTGGGTACCTAATCTACCAAAAATGGTAACTATATCGACCTCCGGACCTCACCCAAAATTAACTTTTTTCAAAATGTCCGAAATTTCACGCTGATTCCAAAAATGGTTGTCGTTTTTCTCTGAAACGACCCGTTTACCCGGAAAATTGGAAAAAGCCTGAAAACTTCTTTTTACGAAAAATGACATTTTGGGTACTCAAATTAACCGGTAGAGCGAGCTGAACAAGAGTCGATATGATAACCATTTTTGGAAGAATAGGTACCCCAGCAAACTTAATTAAAACTCTCATCGAAGGAGTTATTCATCATTTAAAGAACTGGAATACCAAATCGAAGATCTACCTCAAGAACAATGTTACATACTGGATCGCTAAATGAATCCAGATTTGCAAATAGCCCTAAGTATAAAGTATCGTTAAGTAAGAAGCAATATTTTTGTTTAACCTAAAAATGAAACTTTAAAAATATACAACAGTAATCACAAAGAAAGACCTGTGAAAGTTGAAATACAAAAATACAACACAGCTGATTCCAATATTATTATTTAATAAGATTAACATGGCAACTTTGAGGGGAAACGCCCTCAAAATACAAATTTTATTTGTTTTGTTGTTACTAGTTACAAAATTATAAGTGTATTATGTTCGTTTTAGCGAATTTCCCTATAGGGAAGTAGCTATTACCGTAGGTGGCACGGTAAGACCTAGACCCGGGACCGATTTACTTTTTCATTTTGATGTCCCCAGAGGCCAAAAACACCATTCGTTCAAATTTTTATATATGTATATATATATATATAGACTTATATATATATATATATATATATATATATATATACGTCCGTGAACGCGATAACTTGAGTAATTTTTGTCCGATTTTGATGAAATTTGGTTTAAAGGTGTAAAGCGGGATAAACTTGAATGAGTTCGCGAATCAGCACGATCGGACCATGGGAACGGGGCTTTACGGGGGGTTTTATGGGGTAAAAATTGGTTTTTCTCACTTTTGACCCTCAAAACACAAAATTTTCCGATTTCACTTTAGACCTTTTTAAAGAGCATAAAAAAACAAATAATTTAGTATATAAAAGTATTTTTGTTCGAATATTAGTAACGGAGAAAATTTTAAAAATTGTAAATTTAAAATTCCCATGTTATTCTTATGGAGAATGTTGTCAAATGTTGTAGTTTGCTTGTTTATGGATATATTTTTATCAAACTTGGCAAATTTATTTATTTTGTACTAAGCTATCAATATTTTACTCAAAAACACACTTTATTAGTTTCCTTGTAGCAGCAAACCTAGGTACTCGTTAAACCTAATGTTATTAAAATATATTTAACTGAAAATCAATTCAGACAAATGGAAATTCGCTTAGTCGGCAGGTTTGCTGCGGCGGGGGTATTTGTTTTTATGATGAAAAATAAAAAAAATAACATTTGTACTATGTAGAACATTTAACGGAATAAACCATTCATTAATTTATACATTGAGCTCATTTTAGCATTGAACTTCAGATTGAACTCGTCAAAATGACACAAAAAATGTAAATATCGATTCAAACTCGAGGATGAGTTTTGTTCACCAAATAACCCCTTCCAAATTAATTTGTAAAGATGACGAATCATAAGATGGATTTTGGACACGTCCCGCTAAAAATGAAGAATAACCCACATTACCCCTTCTACATATACTAGTTGAGTTTCTGAAACGTATGGTGGGCAAATGTGCCCTTTTATTAAGAAAAAAGGCTAAAAATCTTAATAAAATTTTTACATGTAGGCGTTTTTACATGTTATTTATTTTTAAATTAATAATGTTTTTGGCGTCTTCGGACCATGCAGTGTTCCAAACATTGACCTTATAATGAAGACTTCGGTAATAGCTGGTTTCATCATAGAGGAAAAAAATCCCTGAGAAAGAAATGATTATAAATAAGTTTAAGGACGAAAACATATACCCTGGTGATATTAGCCAGTATATGAACTGCTCTTATGTATTGAAATGCACCTATTAATATGTTGATAATAGCATATATGTACGTAAATGTGAAGGCTAATTAAAAACGTTAAGTTACAGCAGTTTGTTTATGTACACTGGGAAGGAATATTTGTTAAGGACCTTTAAGCATTTTATTCAAATTTTGACAATTTATTATATATTAATATGTGTCCGTATCATATACTTCTTGTGGGTGTTAATGTTATATAATCAAACAGAACAAAACATGAAAAATAATTTTACTGTTTTTTTGATTATTTAAATTTTGATATCCACTGAATATGAAGTTCACTTACATCTTTTATGTATATTTACCGTCTTGTGAGTAACAGTATAAGCATAAATATATGTTTCAAGTGTTAAGACGTTTCTTTTATTTACTTTCCGTTTCTATAAAGTTCCACACATAAAATGTACTGTAGTAATATGTTCGGACCTAAATCCATCCTCCTTCATCAGGCTTTATAGGCATGGCGACTTGCCCTATAAGAAGAATGTTCCCTAAGGGTTCTAATCTTGTAATTAATATTGAATATTCGAACAATATATACTGTAGTATAATACGAGTGGAACGAAATGGTATAATCATACAAGTGAAATGTATGAGAAATGTTAAATTAATAAACATGCGAATGTGACAGATAACCAGAAACAAACTACGTGTTTTGTGTTTCTATAATGGAAACATATTATTTTATCGTTAGTTTTAGTGAAAGTGCTCTTCATCCTAAAGACCAATTCTTAATTTTTTCTTAAATAAGTGTAGCTGCATCCTGGCCCCTAACCCCCGTGTGTGGTGATGTTATAAAAAAGTTCAAATCCATTGTTGTTTGACAGGAACAAAACCCCTGGCCCTCAGGACAGAGAGCGACTAGACCTGCCTCATCACATTGTGCGTAACTTGTTAATATGTGTGGTTGGGTTTAGGAGTATTTAGAGAGATTGCGTTATTTTAGTAACTGTTTGTCATTAGTTTGCATGATAAATGAAAACCACAAGCCCAATGGTCCCACATCTGTGAGTGGAATGCAATCGTTAATGAGGTGAATGGTGAGTTCTGTTTGGTGGCGTGAAGAGCAGTGGTCTATTCTTCCACAGCACCTGACGACGTCGACGAAGAATGTCCAGAAGAAAACACTCCGTCTGATAAAAATATTTTCCTTACGTAAAAGCAGGAATGAAATGTTCCCGTTGAGAGGTTGAAACGGGAACGAATTGAAAAAAAAATGGTTGAAATAAATAGAAACACACCACTTCTAGCATTTGTGAAAAGTATTATTCAAACAATGATCAGAAAATACAAATCTGAATAACCCTGTCTGTTGTGAAGGGATTTGCCTGCGTCGGGTTCTTTCACATTTCTACCCATTGCCTAGCATACGATATGTGTTACATGTTAAAGTTGAAATGATAACTGTCTAAGCTGGTGTATGCTTCCCATAGAAGCCTACTAAGCTCATGAAAAAAAGTCTTTTGGGTACATTTTATCTCATGTAACAGCATATTGGAGAGGTTTACGAAGAGAAGGGATGAAATTAGTATAAACGTTTTCACAACACCTTCTCTTCTAACACAGATAACATGCTAAAACATCTACATATACAAAACCCATAAAATGCTAATAGGGGGCAAATATTGTGCTAGTTATGTACAATTTCAATAGCTTCACTAGAATTTATGAAAATTGATGCAACTAGAGTAAGTTTACCTTAGACATTGATGTCCGTCCATAAAGGCTCCATATCACCTTGACGAGATTTAGATTAAGCTTTTTTTGAATTCTCAAGAGTAAGATTTTCTAACCACCTATCACATTTTTTTAGCCTTGAGAGAATTATATGCTTAAATTAGTTTAAAACTTGAAGATTAACTCTGGTATTAAACCAGTTGTGCAGGCGAACATTACTACCAAAATCACTGTCATCTTAAAACAGCGTGTTAAATATTAGTTGTTCAAAGAATATTATATTTTTCTTGCACCAGTGTATGCTAGTACATGCTTGTATTACATGTGTTTTTCATGCATGCTTTGCAAAATAGTTTTGTGTCTCTTGTTTTGTTTGTAAATGTTTTTCTACAAGTTTTTACATTATGTTATTGTACTTTTGTACGTGGCACTTGATGCCAACTATTAGTACTGTAATTAAATAAGTTGAATTGCATTTATTTTAGAAAAAGATGAAGCCCTATTGATAAATCTAACCCCCTAGTTCAAATTGAAGCTCATGATAAGAATACTGAGAACAGTATTTTTCTCCTGGCAAAAGTCTTCGGGAGTTTTTATTTACGATATTTACAAAAATCCATTTACTCATGTCTTAATGGATACACAATTGTTCTATACATTGATGGGAAATAAGGTTAATAAAATAAAAAATAATCTTTATATTTTTATTCTGTTACATCAAAGGCCGAATACAAAATTTATAAAACTCCTCTAATCTATTTGTACCTTAATATTCATTATATAATATTATGATAGTGATTTTCAATAACATGTAATCTTGCTTCTAACGCCTTCTCCATTCAGTTGAATCTATCTTAAGACTAGTTGGAGTACTCATCTCTATTTATTCTCAGATATATGTTAGTAAAATTTAATACAGATTTTGCACATGAAAACCTATGTAATAAACATTTTCATGGTTGTGAATAAGCTTAGTTTTACACTTCTGATCGTGTATACATTTCCAACTGTTAAGACATTCTTTTTTACACCATCATTTTTTTATCTAACCAAACGTTCTATTTTATAATAAAAAAGTATACCTATTAGAGATTTTCAATTATGTTTAACAATGTCATAGGAATCAATTAAGACCTTTATAAATTATGTACACATGGTTATTTAAAATGTAAATAACATAAACAACACACACACAAATTCCAACGTTAGTTATCAGAAATCAACTAAGCGTGTTAATAAAGTTTTGAACGACGCATAAAATATCTTATATTTGAAATAAACAACAATCCGCAACAAGAAGATTTAATGTATTAAACAAGATAACAAATTTGCAAAAGGTAACATTATTATAAATCTCCTTTTATGCAGTTAACTCCCGACTTATTTAATTAGGTAGAAACAGCAGATAAAGACATTAAGTTTAAACGGATCAATTGCGAGGAAAATATTTTTTTTAATTTACTTAAAACAAGTTTGTGGTTTGGTGGGAGAAATAAAGTACCTACAGTTGTGATGGAAAACAAAGACTCGATCGCGACTGAATAAATGAATGCGGAACTTCATCACTGAAGGTTTACCAGTGTCCGACACGGGCTTAACTATGTGACCAGTCAAGTACAATGACACCTGCTAGAAGTATATCTGTACTCAGATGTGGTAAACATTTAATGGATAACGCATAGTCATGACAATTTATTGGGATTTATGAGACAGTGAAGTTTATTTGAGTATTGATTTCACATAATCTAGCTTCTAAACAAAATCGGACGTTCCAGAGTAGCACAGAGACTTACAAATATGCAGGTTACGAGTGGAGCTAAGGAATATAAAGCAAACTCGATACTTGTTGGTCAAAACCATCGCCTAATTGCAACTTGAATAGCACGAAGATTTTTTCAGGTTAGGTAAAGTCAGCCTCAGTTAAGCTAAGTAAGGTTAAAGTACACCTTTATTTCCTTAGACAGCATAACTATCAGTGAAAATACGAGGCGACCTCCAAGTACCGAGAATATTATGAAGACAACACTCGAGTTTTCACCTATATTGTATATAACACAACTCACGCTTCACAATTAAATACCTACATGTATTAGTAATGATACAAAGAGCGATTAATTAATCTTAAAATTATGTTAAATGATTAAGTAACGATGCAAAGAGTTTAACCGTAATGAAAAATAGTGATTTTATAGACATCTTGTCTTTGACTAGTTACTATGTATTCTTTAAATACAAACATAACTTAGATTAAGAATAACACTTACCTTACTAAACGAGTGTTTCGATTTGATGAAAATCAACACGCTTTTGCTATTCGATATTAAACTACGACAAGGATGAAAACGAGGTATTAAATAGCTTATATTGTCTATAGCCTATAAGCAACAAGTGTTGAGAGTGACTTGCATTTTTCTAGGTATGCATCTGCATGAGATGACAGACGCAGGTCAAACAAAATAAAAAATGCATTAAAATTGTTAGGCTAAGACGTGAATCAAAGGATCGCTTGAACCAAACTAAAAAAAATCCTGCCATTTTACGAATAGGAAATTATGTAATATAATTTTGACAAATAAGTCAATCTTTTTGCACCTGTGCGTTTGGACATACTGTAATCTGTTCTTAAACGACACAGAGTATTTGCACCATTTGGGCCATTCTACTCGTCAAAAGACACATTTATGAACACTAGCAGTTGGCAGAATTATTCAGAGGTCATAAATATGTCTTTCGTTGGCAATTTACACGGGGTTCCCAAACCGTGGTACTACAATGATTGATAGATCTACGTTTTAGTCAATAGATTCTAAAACAGGACTTAATGTCAACTGGCAATGAAATAAAAGCACCAGTCTTGCCCAAGATCACCACAATCTTAAAACACTACACGATAGTTGCTTTGTATAAAAAATATAGCTTCTACAATAAGAAGTCTCAAATAAGACACCAATTCTAAGTCCAATAATTTGGCCGAACTACAATAGATCCGACCCTAGCTCTAGGCTGATTATAACAACTGCAAATGCTTATCACATGAATGTGTGCAACTACATAATCAAGTTACAAATTACATGACATTTTTTGTTAAGTCTACCAGTTCAATGTAGAATATGGCAGAAGTGAATGTATTTATCATATGGCCCGTTGGTATAGCATTTCCGTTTTATAAACTACCTAAGCCATTTGGTAAATTTAAAAACTATATTTCGAAACGGGGTTCTCAATCAAATTGAAGATCCGGAATAATTGCAACAATGATAATTAAAATGCACAATTTGAGTAATCGTGACCAAGAATGTACAATTTATTGTCAAAACTTAAATGTGGTCTAGCAACAAGCTCTCGCGTTACCTTCCTAGGGACACCGAGGAACACATTCTCGAACTCAATATGTCACGTCATTACAACCTGATGTTAATGATATATCTCAACTACACAAAAGTATCTAAGATAGATATCACATTAAGATCACACAGTACAGTAGCTATGTCCTTTGCACGGGTGCTGGGATGCGAGTAGTAATCCCTGAGTCGGGTTTAGAGTCTTTGCGAGGACTAGGCATCATGGCGGCGTATTGCTGCATTATCTCTGCCACTTGCTGACAGAAGGTGTCTTGTGTGAGAGCGGGTCTGGTCTTCTTACCCGACCGACCTCCAGTAGAATTCCACGTGTTGCTGGGGTTGCGGGAGGAAGAGCTCGCCGCTGTGGACGCAGAAACCCTCGCAGAACGGTTGACGGGAGTGTTGCGGCGGAACGGTGATTGTTGAGGACTCTGGGTCTGGTTTTCCTGCGTCCCACCCACAGACCTGCTGCGTGCCGTCCTGGGCACTCGTACTGGAGACGCTGGAGGCAAACATTAAAATTACCATAAGTTCTTTTGTCGTGAATAAATTAATTGACAGGCTGTAATATTTATCATGTTAAAAAGTGTAAGAAGTGTAGCAGCTATGACTGAGAGGTGTATATTTTCATGTGAACCTATTAGTAAGGTAAAATTCTGTACCATAAAAATGCCATAAAATCAATAAAAAGAGAAAGCATTAGTTGATCTTGGATGCAAATTTACTGTAAAAAATCAACTAACCTGTCAGTGATTTCGCTCCTTGTGTATTGCAAGACTGTGGGGAAGGGACGATGCCTAAACTTCGGTATCCCTCGTCCGATACCTCAGAGCCACTGTCGTTGTTCGTCTGGCCGTCCGCTCCCATGGTGTCGAGACAACTAGAACTTCCGTATTTTGAACCCGAGCGTTTTCCAGAGTGTCCGCTAGCCTCGGCAGCAATGAAGTTATCTGATATACGTCTAGAAGGTGTTGTGTCGACCCCAGACTTGATTTCCTTGACAGGTGTTGGACTCCTCCTCGGTACCGACATGGACACGCGATGGTAGCTGACAAAGTTATCGGACACTCTTTGTGCCGGAGAAGTGTCCACTCCACTCTCGTAGTCCCTCGAGATACTGTGGCGTGGTGAGTCCAAAGTTGAGATGTTACCTGAAGATCCGCGTTGAGGGTGGTGGATGAAATTGTCTGAAACTTTGTTGCATGGAGAAACATCAACTCCAGGACTAACGTCATCCAATTTTGTTTTAGTTTTCTTTTCAACAATTTCTTCAAGCTTCTCAGTTGCCGAATCCAAATTCTTGTCTTCCAAAGTAGCTCTGAGGACATCATCTGTGACCAGACTTGCCACTGCTTTGTTGCTAGGAATAAGCGCTTGCACTGTTGCATCACCGTCTAGGGCATAGCCGTATCCATTCGTGTTACACACGTTTTCTACAACATCGTTACAGACACGTGCGGTGCGCGTTTCAATCGAATCAAAATCTGATAGAGGAGTGGACGATCGTACTCTTTCAGCCACTGCCTTCAAGTCTTCGTGTGTCCCGTTTTCCAACGGGACTTTTCTAGCGTTGGCTCCTTCTTTGGGTGAGGTTGATCTGGATCGTCGTCGTGGGTTGGGGGTGGAAGGTCGTGATTGTTTTAATTCCTTACGAGGCGTAGGTGACCTTGATCTATTTCTGGATGCTACAGTCGGGGCTAATTCTCGCCTTGGGGTTGGTGACGGACTTCGATTCCGCTGATTGGGTGCGAGACGATAGTTCGGAGTAGGAGATCTACTTCTGTTCCTAGCCCGATCTGAGATAGGTGTAGGAGTGAGGGTTCTACGAGGGGTAGGGGAGCGGCTTCGGCGTCCCTGGTCTTTGGATCCCGGAGAGAGAGTGGCGTTTCTCTGAGTATTCGGGGAGCGACTTCGGTTCCTGGTGATGGCCGGTGGAGGTGGAGCTATGCTACCAGCCCCACTGTTGCTTCCTACACTTGAAGCCGATGATCTGCGAGTTCTAGGAGGTGACCTGCGAAACAAATAAACAATAATGATCACACAGCAAGTGAAATTGACTCTTAAATCGTAGAATAAGAACTCGACTTTCGTAGAATAAGAATTTTTCCGCCGGCTGAGGCCGACCATCAGATTTTAACAGACCATAAAAATAACCCAGGAAAAAAGGCTAACCGGAATTAGACTCACCTCTCGTAATGCACCTGCGTTCCAGCGATATCTATGCCTGGGATTCCTGTCTTCATGCCAACGATCTTGGCCGATACTGGAGCGCGGTGCGCTGGAAAAAACAAACAGGTCTATTTTAGTTAGCTTTAATATTTAGGTTTTTAAAAATAAATGAAGTTTTTTACCATCAATATACTAATTTACTTTACTGATATACGACGGCCAGTTTGGTATGTTAGGGATGGATTCCGTTTAAACTCTTCTCTACCCCTGAATTATAATTGCAGTAATCCAAAACCATTTGTAAAGTATCATAAGAAATTAGTACTGGCTGCAGCCCAATGGAAATTGCGGAACATATTTTTGTTTTTTTTGATGTGATTGCGAATTGGAATGGATACCACCCACATAATCTTTCAACAATTTTAAGAAAACTAAATTAAAAAGCTATACTATTCTTTTGATAAATTGTAGTGTTTTAAATTGAAATTCTAATCATAAGGTTAAGTATTTGTATTTTTACTGTAGATCCAATAGTTTGATCATTACCAGTTTTGCAGCGGCAGGGATCGTGCTTGTCCAAGTAATGAGAGAGCGTATCCCAACCACCTCCAACTCGCACCATCACATGGCTTCGTAGTACCTTCAACATATGTTTTGCATAAGTTAAAAAGACGTATTATAATAAAACAAAGGGAAAAAAGTATATATTTGTTATCTCTCAGGAATGTTTTACTTATTACCTTGATAAGTATAATAATGTTCATGCTATCAGAAGATGCGTGAGGAAATTTATAATTTTATGAAATAACATGCCTAAAAGCTTATGCGACTGGTTTAGGCAGAACGTTACATCTCAATTCACGTGTTCTCACTGAACGCCCGTTCCCGTTGAGATTGCAATATGATCGATTTTCCGTTGTTATTTAAATGTCAGCAAACATTTGTAATGCAGGTGATGGGTAATCTTTTGATAAATCCACGTTGAGATTTGTGTTACTTTTGCCTAAAAGAATTTTAATTTAACAAAAAATGTTCTTTCACTTCATCCTCGATAAAAAATTGAAACACATTGTGGGATGACAATCCATGCAGGAAATGATCATACTGTACACGGTTTTATTTATCATAGGATTTATAGCGATTTCTGGGGTCCCAATTTCTTAATGGTATTTTTCTCGAGTGATTCCCAAAATATAGCCAAACCAGTTTGATCAAACCGAACAGCCAACTACGGTATTGCTCTGGCTAACACTTTCGAGGATCCCACCGGAAGTAAAAGTAGGAGACTTGTGGGAGTACAGTAATTGGTAAGCGCAGAACTGTAGGCACCCATCAATAAATACAGAAAGCGCGCAGTAGACTGGCGAGGGTAGAAAGTACTTCTAATTGTAGGACAAGCAGTAATTACTTTCTGCATGATTATGGACACTGGTGAATTCGCACAACGCAAAATCTCGGAATTCGTAATCACACGGTTCCTCGTAAATATCAAGAGAAGTTCGTTCGCCACGTCACAAAAATATGCATTGGTTGTAGAAAATCGTTCCATTGAAGGTGTTTTACGCAAATTGATAGATCGTTGGGTTGCATGCAATATACTTGATTCTTCTAAATGACGGAAAAAATAACAACCTCAGGTAAAAATGTGGTGGTATGTGACAGAAGTGCAAATGTGTATATCCATATCAAGCATTTTTCAATTACTTGCGTCCTTGAAAACACATAAAGTTCTTTATCAGTTGAGTGATAGTAATGAAAAGTATTCAATCGTGATGTAACAGCAATGAATAAATTATATTAAAAAATATCGGACTAAAACTGTACCAATGCTTTCGTGAAAGCTAAACACTTGTGAATTTAAAACACATTGTGAAAGAGGCACTCACCCTGACAAATATGAGGACCTTGGTGTCTCCGATGCGATATTTACCCTCAGATACTCGTATCATAGGGAACTGGGTGGGGCAGCGGCACTTCTCCACCAAGTCTCGAACCTGGAATGTTAACAGAGTTGTATCAACCTGAAGAAGTCGATATACCACAAGAAAAATATGCAGAGTTGTTCTTATAATAATGTCAAAAGCCCCAATAACAATAAATCCCTGAATGATAACGTCCTATTTCAACACATTTTAACTGTTCTGCTTCTATTAAACAATTCATATGCAGGTTGTCTACAATCTAAATATGGAGGTAGGGCGAGATAAAACTGTAAATGTATGTACGCAGTTTTTGCGTGCGAGGAATATGCTAAGGTATACTTTATAACGGACGAGCTATCTGGAAAGAAATCGGAGACAAAGTCTGACAGAGAATGGAGGGAAGAGAGAATGATGGGAGATAAGGGGGGAGAGCGTTAACATCGCAAAACACAAGTCGTGGTTTGTCACGCCATTTAACACTCGCCGGCGCGGTGCTTCTGTTGCGGTCTAGAGGTGTCCGCACCGCAGTAGACTCGGGTTACTTTGATTGCTATTTCTTCTACTACTCTGGTATGTCGGTCGGTGGAAAAAAGATGAAGGAAAGCTGTCCGATAACAGATGTTTTACGTTTTGTCGCTACGTGAAACACTTGCCGTTTTGACCACGACTGAAATTCTGTTACTCACGAAATTAGTTTCACTGACCAACGGTTGTACCATCACTGTATGACACAGACTGAAATTATGCTGCACATAAAACCTTTTACGTTGACCACCGTTTTTGCCATTATTTTTTAACCTCGACAAACATTCCCCTGCATAAATCCCCCCACCAAAAGTCTGCTACATTGAAAACCTATTCCGGTGACTCCCGGTTGTGTCATTATTCTGTAATGATAGTACACGTGTGAGTAATAAGATCAATGAACATTAGGCCTAGGCCAGAATCTCATGGTCTGCACCTTGATACATTGGAAGAAACACATACATAACCAGACACTGTGATGTATCTGCGGTTGTATGTGGGGGTTCTACGACTAATACGACTCTAGAGACAAAGACAAATTGTGACCACCGAAAATAGAAGAAAAAACAAGTTAAGCTCGAGGTTTTTTGCTGCTACAGTAACGAAATAGATTAATTCGAGTTAGCATTTGCCAAAGAGGGTAATTTGCACTTTAAAGTAAAATTACTAAACCTTAACTAATAACTAAGGTTTGCACTTTTGTTTTTAAAGCTATACTGTTTGCATTAATAATGATTGTCTATTCAACATTACAGTGGGTGTATACAACTATAATGATGCTCTATTTTTAGCGAATTTCCCATACAGGGAATAAGCTATTACCGTAGGTCTCATGGTAAGACCTACACCCGGGACCGATTTACTTTTTCGTTTTGAGGTCCCCATAGGCCAAAAACACTCCCAGTTCAAATTCATATATGGGGGGTTTTGGGTGGTTTTATGGGGTAAACATGTGGTTTTCCCATTTTTGACTCTAAAAACATAAAATTTCACAATTTCTTTCCAAACCATTTCGTGGAGCTTACAAAAATTAATAATTTTATATAATCTAAGAGTTTTTGTATGCCTAACCGTTACGGAGATAATTCAAAAAATTTTATATTTAAAATTTCCATGTTATTCTTATGGAGAATAAATAAACTGTTGTTGCTTGCTTGTTTATGGATATATTATTTTAATCAAATTTGTCAATTTTGTTTATTCCATACTAAGCTATCAACATTTCAATAAAAAAATAAAAATAAATAAATAAATAAACATACCTCAATACCTTCCCTGTAGCAGCAAACTTAAGTACTAATAAAATTTATGTTATTTAAATAGGTCATAAATCTGAAAGTTTTAGAAATATTTTAGGGAATATTTTAGTAGAAATCCAGCCAGGTAAATGGGAATTCGCTTAGTCTGCAGGTTTGCTGTGGCGGGGGTATTTCTATTAAACTATTGTGTTCTCATCCCCTGGGTCGGCGTCGTAATCACCTCAATCAGTAGAAAGAAGGAGGATGGCGTCAACCTGTATAAGTTGAAAATATAAATAAATATATCCGCGAAACTCAGCTTTTTTTTTATAAAAGACTAACACAAATCCCATTCGTTGCCGTTGGCAACATCAACATAACGTCTGTAACAAACTACATCTCAGTGAAGTAAGCCATAAACTTGTTAGGAATGTTGAAACATAAGCGAAGGTGAACCACACCATGATGTTGATGTATACGGTATACGGTCTACTGGCAAGACGAGAATAACAAGCACCAATCTCAGCAACAGGAAGAGAGAAAGAATAACGATGAATATTTAACAGCTGACAGCGAGAAGAGAATAGCAGGGTCTCAATCATTACGACTGGCTGCACCATATACAAGCGATGATGATTCAATCATAATGCCACATACGGAGTGTTAAATAAACATAACCAGCGATTGTTACCAGTGGAGTCACGACCTCGCTAATAGTCTTGTTGTTGGGCTAATGATCTAATGTTGAGTCGACTCTCGGCACTCGACAATCAACACTCAACACTCAACAGTCTATACTCAACACTCAACAGTCTATACTCAACATTCAATAGTCAATAAGCAACACTCAACAGTCTATTCTCAACACTCAACAGTTGGTAAGCGACACTCAACAGTCTACACTCAACATTCAACAGTCGATAAGCAACACTCAACAGTCTATTCTCAACACTCAACAGTCTGTACTCAACATTCAACAGTCTATACTCAACACTCAACAGTCTACACTCAACATTCAACAGTCGATAAGAAACACTCAACAGTCTATTCTCAACACTCAAAAGTCAGTACTCAACATTCAACAGTCTAACACTCAACAGTTGATAAGCAACACTCAACAGTCTACACTCAAAACTCAACATTCAACACACAAAGCTTGACAGTCGATACTACACTCATCGTTCATCTTCACATTTAAAGTTTGATCTTCGGCTCGACTCTGTTTCTCTTAAAAGTTAAAGCTCAACATTCGACGACTTTGGATCCATGACACTTACACGCAAATACACAATCCTAACGTGTATACACACAATGATTAATAATGTTCTATGCTGTCTTGATCTTACCTTAACATGATAGTAATTATACATTTTAAATACATCCATCCCACGAGCTAACAGCTGTCTCAACATATCACAGCGTGTATTCTACCAAATATTAACTCCTGTACGGTATGGTGACCATTATACTTTTTCGTTGTTTGAAAAACCTTAGTAAAACAATGTAGGATATGTATATAAATAAATAATATAAATGTATACAACACATATCATAAAGGTGGTATCGTGTTGATTTAATGACTCGAAGATGAATAACCAACAATCATTGTTCAACGTCATTCGAGCCTTGTGACTCAAATATTCGGTCTCAATCATATATCGTATTTTCAATACTACCTCAACACCCTAATTTTTACTGATAACGCTAAAAACGCTAAAAAAAGTTGTGAACATAACACTTTACAATCGACACTCGAAAAGTGATTAAACCCAATTCAGGGTTGGCTAACTTTTTGGGAAATCTTTGAGGGTTCGCTTCACTAATAGTTATAGTAATGAACAACATTTTTAAAACACTTAGTTAAAAAAAGTTAAAATTATCTAATCAGTCAATAGTTGATACTCTTTAACAGCCAAAACATTCCATCGAAAGGTCACAGAGTCCTTACTTGTAAGTTATCATTCTAAACGGTGTTGTGGAGTTGTATATGCATCGAGCTTAAAAATATTTTCGATATTTATTTAAAAATAAAAAAAATATGATAACTTTAACCATCTCTGAGTAATTTTAGATTAATATTTAATAACAATCAAAAATTGGGAGATTTCTCTGAAATATATTTGAGTTGGTTAAAAAGGTTTCCCAACCCTCGTTTTCTAAACATCTTAACTGTTGAATAAAAATGCCATATTACTAATTAAAGTATATGTGCTATGTGTGGAAGATGCTATAATCGAAGAAACTAATAACAGAATGATTGTACCCATACAACAAGTTGTAGCCATAGAGTTAAATGAAAGATACGATGATGATTGAAATATAACAATTTAGGTAGATTTTAAATTTAAATTTGAAAATGTTTGATTATATTATACACAATAGAGTGTTTATTTCTGGTATATTGATACTAATTGTCATAATGATGTTTAAGTGAAGAGGATATTGACGTCTAAGATCACGTTAATGTGTCGAAAGTAAATACCACTCACATTGTATGATCAACCGTTTTATAATTTAATCATTGACTATTGGACCAGATGTCACAAATTTTTTACTAAAAAAGAACGTAGTTGTGTGAGCGAGTCACAGAATGCGCTAGTGTCTAAAATTCTGTGTTATACCATAGATAAAAGGAGTAGTCACCCTTTTATCTATGGTTATACCGTATCTTTTGTTGCTGACAAGGTTGATAGGTTATAACAGTTGCTATAGCTCACCATAAATCATTTCCTAAGTTTGACTTGGTAAAAAAGTCTGTGTACTTAGTACAAAAGTGTGTGAATTTAGTAATTTAGATCAGCGCAATCTGTAGGTGGCTCACATCAACTACGACAATTTTGATAAAACCCTGGCTAAAAATTTAACATGGGGATGGAATCTCTAGTTATATTAATAGTCAAAGATTTAATCCAGATAAATTAACTTAAATTTAGCATGTCTTGTTCGATGGTTATATGTTTCTTTAATTTAAAGCTGGTGATACAAAATTCATGTATTTAAATTCAAGGATAAACGGCGGATTTAAGACAGAAGAACGTTTATTAACACATTACAGTCATATCTTTATGATCTATATAAGTCAATACTTAAATTCTGGTAAATTAACGCTGTACTTAAATAATGTTTTGGTTGTGGATATTTATTTAAACTATTCACTATAAACTAAGATAGCGTTAATATTACAGATGTTCGAAGTGTTATACACAAAATAACGATAATTTCTGCTACTGATATATTTCAATGATGTTTTGGGAGTCGATAATGACTCAGATTACATACTAACGGTCGATTTCAAGCAATTAGATGGGA